ACGCATGCAGCGCGGTGCTGCGCCCGCATATATGCTCGCCCCTTGGCGCGGCGCTGGCGGTTGGTGAATGACTATCGGTTTTCATGATCTCAACTACCGCTGCCACTCTGCGCTCTTACCGGGAGCGCGCGAGCGTCCCCCACCCTGGGCGACGTTCTCAGTGACCACGCGGCTCGCGCCCTTCCTCCTGCATCATCTGAGAGGAAGGGCGCCGCACATCCCGATCGCCCGATTATCCACCGCTGCGCGTCGGTCGGAAGAAGTAGGTAAATGAGCGAAGTAGGAAGGGGGATCAAGTAGATTGGGATCTGGGAGCCCAGGCAATACCGACTCTCAGCGGCCGACGTATACTCGCGTCGCTGTGAATCAATATCTGAGGCCATGACCGAATTTCCGATGACGCCAATCACACAAATGTCAGCCCCCCGCCGCGCGCCGCCGCGTTTCGTCAGAGGCGACGCCGCCGCGCAACAGTGCGCGTGCCATCCCCGCGCCCATCCATGGCGCGCGCCTCGCGCGTCTCTGCCCGCGTGGCACTCGGCCCCTGACCGAAGAAGCATACCCGCCCATGCTGGACATGGATTGAGAACTCTCTGGCGCTATGTGCCGCGTCTGCATCGCAGAGCCGGGGGGGGAAGGGGCTGGAAAAGGGCACGCCACTCCTCGACGAAGACCTTGCCCCCGTTTGGGCCATTGCGACCTCCAAAACCGACCCGGCGGCCTGGTGCGGGGTGAGAAATAACGCCACGAATCTCGAAATTCTCAGACGTTCCATTCGGGTGTCCGGAAGAACATTGCCACCGCCAAGCCCCGAAGGAAGGAACGCCCCTCATGGGTAATCCACCCTCGTTGTCGCCTCCGACTATCGGCTCAAGACGATTTCAAGAGGGCCCCGCCAGACTAGCCCCACGATGATCCTGCGCGCGCAGGCTGGGAGCGTCGCGTCAGAATGCACAAGGGTGGAAAGTTGTTTTACATTCGCAGCCATAACGGACGTTAGGAGGGGGGAGGGGGGGTGGGGGACGGGAAGGGAACAACGCGGCGCCCACCCCCCGCCAAGACTGCGGCACCGGACGCACTGCGGCAGTACCGGGGGCGCACTGAGGGTGGGAGCGTGAAGCTACGGGGGGGGCAGGGAGGCGGGGGCCTGGGGGGGGGGGGGTAGGGGGCATAACGTGCGCTCCTGTGCGGTAAGGATGGGCCGAAAGGGCAAGGAATGCAAGTTTACCCTTGGGAAGGCTCCCCATCCTTACTGTGCGGGCTGACTGTATGGCCCAGAGGGTTCACAAAGACACGAGAGAAACTCCCGTGACGTGTGGCGCGCGGCACGAGCGGAGACGGAAGCTCGAGCCTGCAGCGGCCAGCGCAGGAGACGCACACCGCACCGCCGGCCCAGGCAGAGTTGGCAGGCGGCCGTCGTGGAGGCCCAGCGGGGACGGCCCAGGAGGGCGACTGAGCCGTGGACGCTCATCCGGGGACGCGCGCTCGACTGCGCTCGAGAGCAGCCAGCTGCCTCGAGTCCGACACGATCCCCTGCTTGGGCGAGGGTGGGCCATGGTCGTCAGAGGGGTCGAGGGTCCCGCCGCGCTGTCGGTCATGATCGGCCTCGCAACAGTCGCAACGGAAGCTCCCGCCTTCGAAAATCGCGATCCTTCTCAAAACACCATCATAAATCAGAATAACCGTCGCTTCCGCAATGATCACCACCGCAATTATCATCATCCCCTCCCTATGCCCCTCCTGAACCTATTTCTACACCATGCACGATACGTCGCGATGCAATTCAAGAACAAGCCGGTACAAACTGCAATTAAACTTGCTTAGTTGCTTCAGAAGGCCTGACCACTGTACTAAACTCATTAGTCGAACGGGCAAGCATGCAAAGCGCTGATGCTGAATGTACGGCAACAACGAAGTGTTTCATATTTGACACCCTTCACGCGTATGAACCAATCACTGACCCATGCGGCGACTGAGTGCCTTCGTGTAGCTGCTCACGGGCGGTATCTGTCGAATCAACTGTTTTCGCATGGCTTGTCAATCCTGAAAATACCCTGAAGAAGACAACACGATAATATTGTATCGAGCGAGCGCTCCCCACGATGTGCAAGCATGTGCATGGGCTGCTGCAGGCCAGCTTTACATATGAAGAGCAATCGTTTGCACAAACCTTGCTTGCATCTTTCGGGGGCGCGTAAACATTGATTAGCGATCCGTGGATTTGGCGCGCGGTCGCCAAATCCATGGATCGGGGGAGGTGCCCTCCCCAAAATGCGGCTGGTGCCGCCTCGTTCGGCGGCGGAAATACGCGATTTCCCATGGAAATGGGACCCGTCGCTAATCCACGCCCCCTTGATCCATGTTTGCGATCGGCTGAATCTTCTGCCTAAGTGCGACAGCCTGCAGGGAAGTCACTAGCTAGCGCAAGCTCAGAGTTTGCAATGTTGTACTTCATTCCATGGGAGGAAAATGAGCACGGAGAAGAATACGTCAACTGACATGTGAGAACACTGATCCGCCGACCCCCGCTTGCCGGGGGTGAGCAGGCGCGTGAGATATTTGGCTGCCCCCGCCCCCCTTGCCCCTTCCCCCTGGGGCTCGAAATCGCATTCTAAGGGGGGGGGGCGGATAGGGGGGGGTGCGAGCTCGTCAACGCACCAATGGCAGTTCTGGAGCTGCGAAAAAAAACGAGACGGCCCAAGAGAACCCAGACAGAGTCCTAAGGCAGTCGAAGAGCGCGTCGGGACGGCTGAGGGCAGCCCCACGGCCATAAAAGATGGCCTCGAGACGCCCCAGGAGGCCCCCTAAGTCGGCCCAGGAGTGCTCCCACTGGACTGCATAGAGGGCCCCAAGAAGCAAACATCGTCCCATTCCCTCAGGGAAACGTAGTTGTTTCGCACACTCGCCTTCTTCGTTTTCACGGCGTCTCCGACGGCTCACGGGGCCTCCAAGATCGTCCGAAGACGGCCCATGAGGCCCCCAAGCGAGACCGAAGAGGGCCGTGAGACCACCCCGAGGCCCTCAAGACGGCCCATGAGAGCCCCACGAGGGCCCCAAGATAGCGCAAGAGGCGGACTACGAAGGCACATGCCGAGCCTGTTCCCCCACACTGGCCCCAAGAGTTCCCCAAGAGACCCCCCAGGGGCTCCCAGAAGCCCCAAGTGGCCTACAGGACGCCTCGAAGACGCCCCCCAGAGGCCCCCAAGAGGTCTTAAAAAGCCTTCGAGGGCCTTCCAAGACCCCCATGGACAACGTCCAAATAGGCCCTCACATCGAAAATCCAACAACCCTGTTCCTTCTTCTCGACTTCATGTTCTCTATCTTAATCCTCCTCGACCTCCGCACGTTCTCGTTTCCAAAGTCTGCTCTCAGTACGTGGTCCCGCACCACTCGTCCACACACACACAGACACACACACACACACACTCCTACATGACCAACCGAACACGAAGCACGTATGCCACACAAACCTTGGGCACCTCACAGACGTGTTTTATGTAGTCATTCGTTCCCCTGCTTTTTCTAAACAAAATCATTCCGCAAGACACCCCCAAGAGGCTCCAATGAGGCCACCCTAAGCATGCCCCACGACACCTCCTGCATGTCCCGTGAAGGCCCCTTCTCTTTCCCGGAATCCCGCTCTCATTACGTGGCCCTGCATCTCTCACTCCGACACACACTTACAGAACCAGTCGAACACGCAGCACGTATGCCACACAAATCTAGGCACTCCAAACTCGTTTTTTTATGTAGCCAATATGGTCCCTGCTTTTTGTCTACACCCCATCATCCCGCAAGACACCCCAAAGAGGCTCCAACGACGCCCCCATCGGCATCCCCGAAACGGCTTCCTGCATGCTCTCGACGGCCTTCTAAGCGCCCCCCGAACAGCATTCCAAGCTTCCCTCACATAATATGTCCAGCAACCTTGTTCCATCTTCTCTACCTCCTCCTCCTCCTCCTCCTCCTCCTCCTCCTCCTCCTCCTCTCTACTTCCTCCTGTACCTCCTCCTCCTCCTCCTCGTCTTCCTTCTCCTCCTCCTCCTCCTCCTCTTCCTCCTCCTCCTTTTCCTGTTTCTCCTCCTCCTCCTCCCACTTCTTCTCCGCCCTCCCTTCCTTCGTCTTCCCCAGGCCTTCGACGTCGACCCCATTCCCGGGGACCAGCTTTCTTCTCGCCACGAGCAGCTGCTCGTGATGGACTCGGGGACCCGAGGATACCCCCCAAAATAGACGAACGCGTTCCACCACTCGCAAAGTGACTACTCGCAAATTGCCTGGATCCGCCGCGGGGGATCTACGATAAATTGCATCAAAGTAGAGACATGTGGTTTTCGGACGTTTGCGAGTAGGCACTTTGCGAGTAGTGGAACGCGCTCGGCGACGAAGGCCCAGATTCGGACCTACAATAGAAAGCGTGCTGGGAAACTGATCCTCCGCCGAAGGTAGCAAGACGTGCGAGAGCCATGTGACGATCCCCTCTCCCGAGATCTCGAATCTCCGCCGAGGGGAAGGGTGCGGGATCTCCGTGCTGTGGCGCCTCGTGAATGCCCAGCATGCTCTCGAAGACCGCCCAGGAAAAGGGTTCTGCCACGCCCAGGAGGCTTGAAGAGGACCCCAGATCTCGAAAAATCCCCGAACAACAAAAAGCATCTGCCACGCCACTAACCACCCCATCATGACACTGCTCTGCCTTGGGGTCGGCGGAGTGGCGTAAGCCTCTTGAGCAGTCATCAGCATTTGACTTACATGCCCTCTTGACAAGCACGTCGCAAAAATTCACTGTCACACCCTGCGCTGACTAATTTCCAGAGGGGCATCCTTAACAGCACCACAACCAAAGCACATGCTGTTAACAACTCGGGCGCTGGTGGTTCGTAGCATCACGACTACAGGTAAGCAGTGATTCGGTGCCAACTGTCGTATCTGCACACTGTCGTGATTGCACGGAACAATACAGACATGCACGAGCCAGGTGCCTGCATGCATGAATGTGTAGGTCGCACATATTTAGAATAAAGACTGATCAGATGATATGCGTTCTTGCAGACTGGTCGCTGTTACCCCGTTTACCCTGGCTCCCATGAATCCCAAAACATGTTGCAAAACAAAGCCGCCTCCCACAGGGAATCCACGGCCTTGGCAAGGCCTCCGCACGCAAGTCAGCAGAACACATGCAGACAAGCATGGATCATACACCCATGCACACATGCAAGGATATGTACATTGACACATCCTCTGCTGCCGACGCAGCCGGGACGGACTTCTGGCTACCACTGTAAAAGATCCAGGTGAAACATCTTCTTCGTCCGGACGTGTGGGGGCACCGAGGGGCCACGTTGCGGGGAGGGAGGGGGAAAGGGGAGGGGCGAGTGAGAGGTAAGGAGGCCCAAACCTCCAGGGACGCGAACAAAAATGAAACCTATCTCGGGCCCCGAGACCGTCAAAAAACACACGAGGGTGAACGACCGGTCCCCCCGACGGTGCCGAGAGGTCCAGGGGGCAACGTCACGAAACATCAGAACGTCGATGTCTGGAGGAGGGGGAGGTCGGATGGAGGGGTGGGCGCGGGGGAGTAGTAAGGAGATGGAAAGGAGAAGGGGGGTAGGGGGGTAGGAGGGCGGCGGGACGGAAAGGTGGCACACATGCCATCCAGATGTTTCCCCCCGCGTAATCTTCTTTTTGAAGTCCATTCCTCTTCAGTGCCAGCAAGACGTCACCATATATAGTGCTTTTCCGCTGGTTCGCATCCTTCGAGAACCACTGCGCCACTCTGAAGGAACCCGTCCGATATCCTGCTCTTCCAGACCGCCCAAGGCCGTGCCTCGCGCTGTGATGAGCGCGATCCTCCTCGGACTCTCGCGCGCGCGTGGAGGACAGCAGCTTTCCGGCTCAGGTCGCGAGGAGCGAAGATCGGCCCCGAATGCGTGCCCTAACATTGTTGACCTGGAAATGGGCACCAACATCAACACAGGGGGTTGCCTCCACAAGGGGAAGATGATCCTAGATTTCGGTGTTGGTGGTTATAGTTCGGTCACCTTGGAAGCCAGAATGTTACCACCATCACCGAGATCGGAATCTTCTTCCCTCGGTGGAGGCGCACTGCCGATGTTGGTGTCGGTGTCAACCTCTAGGCCTGCGATAACTAACGGGTGGCCTTAGCCAAATCGCTTGCCCTCCGGGGAGCCCGCAAGACGGCGCACGCGCTCGGCCACCGCGCATGGGTAAAAGACCCTCAGGTCCGCGAGGCCAGCCTCGTGTGAAACGACGGTTCGCGCAGTGCGCACTCCCGCAGCCCACGGCGTCTCACGTGCACGTGCGTACAGCTCGCTCGCTACTGGAAGACAACCGGCTGCGCGTAAGAGAGGCCCCAGGCAAGGCCCAAGGTACCCCCAGCTTTTCGATCCATGTTTGGGCCCCTGGGGCCTCTGGGCCTCGCTAGGAGTGCTCTGGAGGCCGTCTGGGCCAGCCCGCGGATCCTGGGGCACCTTGGGCCAGGGGCACTTCTAGCAACACCCGAAAGAGGGACCTTGGGTGCGCGGCTCTCGGGGGGGGGTGCGGGGGGGCCAAACCCGAGAGCGCAAGCCGCTGCCATCTGGGGGCCCCGGGGGTGTGATGTCTCTTTCCATTTCTCCTGTTTTCTCTGTGGGTTTCCCATAGCCTTTCAGGCTTCACGCGCCCTGCCATGGCCAAGCACGGATTGTGGCATGCAGTCGATGGTGCCTCTCTCTGGTAAACTGATGTCCTCCATCTTGTTCCCATCCACTTTCAGGTGCCCGCATCAAAGGTCACTCCGGCGAAAGGTCACTCTTACGCGTAGGCGGGACAATGAGACGAAACTGAGACGAGGATAACATCGGGTACGGACAAATCGGGAAGCTCTGAGATCCAGCGGATCTGGAGGATGCCTCGGGCGCCGCGACCTTCTCAGAGCGCTCCAGAACGCTGTGGAACATATTTCTCCTCGTCCAAGCCCCGTCCGAGAGGAGCGTTCAGTTTGGCGTTTCCCCCTACGGGCGGATTTTTGAGGAAAAACGAGAACTTCAGAAAACAGACCCCAGAATAGCCCAAAAATAACCGAGCAACCGTCCCCAGACTATTTTTAGACTATTTTCGAATGCTCCTCCTGTAGAGGGACAGGCCCGACTTGAGGCAAGCACCTCTGAGCCAAAGTCGCGGGTGCCGCGCCCAGCGCCCGAGCCCGGCGGCACAGCGCAGCTTGGTTGTCGAATCGGGAGGGCTGGCATCAGACAGGTACGAGGACGCCGACGGCTGGTGTCACAGCTTCGTGATGGCCAGGGGCGATGAGGACGGTGCGGGAGGTGAACAACGAGAAGAGGAATTACGGGCTGGAGGAACCACGGATGATCAGACGCAGTGCGAGCACTGGAAGAAGCAGGAGTGGTACCGCGGGGACTGGGACCACTACTCGGGAGCGGGGGCTTCGCCAGATTGGTGGAGTGCATCGAGATGGAGGTCAGGAAGATCAGATCAGTGGCAGGATGAGGGCCTGGAGTGGTGGCGAGCCGATACCAAGCCCCGACAGGAGAGAAGTAGCGACTATGGCCAGCCTCCTCACTTCGTCGGTCTGGCACATCTCGAGGCAGACGTCGCCAACATAGAGGCCTGGACGAAGAGGACTGGCGTTCAACCAGATGACCAGGCGTCCAGGACTCTCGAGGGGTAACCCACGGAGCTGCACGGCAAGTCCTCAAGAGGGTATCCGCTCGGGTGCCGCGCCCGGTGCCCGAGCCCGGCGGCACAGCGCAGCTTCTGAGGCGGCAGGTGCTGGGCGCCCACGCCCCGAGCAGGCAGCCCCCGCGGGGCCCACGTCGGGGGGAGCCGTGGGTCTCCTGGGGGCCGCATTTCGGCCTCTTGGGGACCTCTCGGGGCCTCTCAGAGGATTCTAAAAAGCATGCTGGCGGTTTCGGAGGCCCTCTTGGGGTGGTCGGGGGGGCCAAGGGAGCAAGGTTCACAAACGTCCCCCCCCCCCCGCCAATTTCGGCACGGCCCTCACACGGAGCGTGCCACTCCGTGAGCTCCACTTTCGGGTCCAGGGACACAGTACGGTTAAGTCGGGCCTGTCCCCCTAGAACGGGATTTTGGACGAAAAATAAAGAGTAGTCAAAAGATACCCCCCAAAATTGTCAAAAAATAATCAAAAATCGTCCCCAGACTATTTCTTTACTAACCCTTTGAATATCCCCCCTGTAGAGGGACACGCCCGATTTAACAGGACGAGGACCCAGTAACGGCGGGGAGAGGCGGGGGCCCGCCCGCACGGAGGAGAGGCGACGAGGGAGCGGCGGCCTCCCGGGTGGAGGCGGAGAATCGCGAAGAGCAGCCGGGACGAAGCCAGGACGAGGCCGACATCGGGCGAGGACACGTCGACAATCTGTGAGATCAAGCAACTCTGGAAGATGTATCGGGCGCGGCGGCCTTCTCAGAGCGTGCCGGAACGCTCTGAGAGCGTTCCGTTCCGGAAAACTCTGGAACGGACTTATCCTCGTCCTGGCCCCACCTGATCATTACAAATGCATCGCTGATTCAACGACAATGCGTCGGCGACGTCGGCGATGCACCCGCGACGCGGGGGCGAAGGAAATCGGGCTCCACATCGAGCCGCGTCGCCGATGCGTCGGCGATGCGGCGCGATCCTCCGACCCCATCTACTCGGACACCATCCGGGAGGCCCGGGGAGAGGGAAGGAGAGGCGCAAGGGAAAGAGGAGGGGAAGAGTGGGGCCCAAACAAAGGAAGAGGAGGAGGAGGAGGAGGAGGAGGAGGAGGAGGAGGAGGAGGAGGAGGAGGAGGAGGAGGAGGAGGAGGAGGAGGAGGAGGAGAGAGGGCAGGCGGGACGGCGGAGGATTCATACGAGCGGCGGGCGAACCCGTATACGAGCACAGGCGCGGCAAGTTCGTGTCGTGACGACCCCAGCGGTGGCAGGTCGTCCCACACTGCGCGACTCCGGGCCTCTGGCGGCGTTCAGCCTTGAACGCCCGCGGCGGGGTCGCCACCGTACCTGCCGTGCGTCCTTCTGTTTCCTCCTCCTCCTTGTCCTCGTCCTCGTCCTCGTCCTCACCCTCCTCCTCCTCCTCCTCCTCCTCCTCCTCGTCCTCGTCCTCGACCTCGAGCTCGTCCTCCTCCTCCTCCTCCCCCTCCTACGCCGCCTCCTCCTCACCACCCCGCGCCGTGACGAGGCGTCGAGGCGCCCCGCGGGGCGGACCCGCGGGCCGCGTATATAGAGCCGCAGGGGGGCGAACTCACGAGGGGTGCCCGCGGCGGCTGCCTCCGCATGCCCTGCACGGTTTCCCCTAGGGCCGCAGGCGACCCGAGGAGGAGGAGGAGGAGGAGGAGGAGGAGGAGGAGGAGGAGGAGGAGGAGGAGGAGGAGGAGGAGGAGGAGGGAGGAGGAGGAGGAGGGGAGGAGGAGGAGGAGGAGGAGGAGGAGATGGTGGAGGAGGAAGACGGGGAGCAGGACGAGGAGGAGGAGGAGGAATAGGAGGAGGAGGAGGAGGAGGAAGAGGAGGAGGAGGAGGAGGAGGAGGAGGAGGAGGAAGAGGAGGAAGAGGAGGAGGAGGAGGAGGAGGGAGGAGGAGGAGAAGGAGGAGGAAGGAGGAGGGAGGAGGAGGAGAAGGAGGGGGACGAGGAGGACGGGTCGCCTAAGCCCTTCGGAGAAACCCGCCACCTCTGCCTGCCCCCCTTGCGACGATCGGCGAACGTATCCACAACCACGCCCTCGCGATCTGAACTCCGGGGAAACAGTCCAACGGAAACACGGTCGCATGGATCCGTTCCCCGCGGGGCATCCGTGAAACAAATGCCCCGTGTCCATGGGGGTCGCGGCTAAGGGGCCCAGCACGCGAGGCATCGGATACGGATATGTCTTCCAACAGACCAGTGTCGAACTGGCGGCCGTGAAAACTCGAATCCGTGCCGCTGTCGACATGCTCGTCCTGGCGTGGATCTAGACTGCTGCTCCTACTCGTCGTCGCTCCTCGCCCTTTCGGCCATTTGGAGCTGCCATTGCACTCCTCCTTCACCCGAACGCAGGACTGGACGTAGTCGTTCTGCCAGTAGGCGTTCGACCGCGCATCGTCCCAAGCCTGCGCGGGGCAGCAAGGGGAACGAGAAAGGGACGGCAAGGTGAACCTGAAGAGACGCAGGCGGGGAGGGGGAACAGGGAGATGGACAAGCTAGATGCGCTGGCGTCATATCAGACGTCCTACCCCTCCCTCCCATCCCTTACCATGTCGTATATATCATCTCGATTCGCTGTCGGATGTCGAGCAGGGCAATGATCCCGAGAGGGTACGCGATGCATCGTAGAGCACGGCATAGCAGGGCGTAGAAGGGCACGGCAGAGTGTTGTATGCCATAGTATGGCGTGGCGTTGCGCAGTGAAGAATTCTATCACAAAGCGTTACAACGCAAAAATTGGCATCGCACATCGGCACATAACATAACATGATATAGCATGGCGCTGAAGATCAAAGCGTAGCATGGCATAACATGGCGTGGCACTGCGTAGTCAAGCGCTGCATATCCTAGCATTGCAGCTGAAGGCATGGCGTCGCAGAACGGAACACCAGATAGCATTGCATTGCATGCCGTAACCAGGCACTGGAAATAATGAGGCCAACGCTGCAGCGGGAGCACGATTCGGAACGAGCGGAAGCGCGGAAACGAGGCCAACGCTGCAGCGGGAGCACGGAACGAGCGGAAGCGCGGAAATGAGGCCAACGCTGCAGCGGGAGCACGACTCGGAACGAGCGAAGCGCGGAACTGAGGCCAACGCTGCAGCGGGAGCACGACTCGGAACGAGCGGAAGCGCGGAAACGAGGCCAGCGCTGCAACGGGAGCACAATTCGGAACGAGTGGAAGCGCGGAAATGAGGCCAGCGCTGCAACGGGAGCACGGAACGAGCGGAAGCGCGGAAATGAGGCCAGCGCTGCAGCGGGAGCACGACTTGGATCGAGCGGAAGCGCGGAAATGCGGCCAGCGCTGCAGCGGGAGCACGACTCGGAACGAGCGGAAGCCCGAAAATGAGGCCAACGCTGCAGCGGGAACAACTTCTTGAACCGGAAATCCTGTGGTAAAAAACAATACGCATAGGAGGGCCGAACATCTTCCGGACGTCATGTAATTGTTGAGGGAGGGGGAAGGAGTAAGAAAGAATGGAGAGCGAGAAGGGCGGAGGGACCAGGGGCAGGCGGAAGAGAACGAGGACGAGGAGGCTTGCTGTTGAGGGGGAGCAAGGACTGACATACCTAGGGCCCCCCCACAAGCAAGCCTCCGAAAGGGCCGACTGAGGGCCACGGGACCTGCAAAAACAACTCAACAAGACAAGAACCAAATCTCCTGAACTGCGTTGAGAGGTCAGTGCCGTGAAACGAGCCGAGACCTCTGGTGGCGTGTTTTTCAATTCAGGCTCGGGGGATCTCCCGGCAGTTCCCACACCGCAGACAGGCATTTCGTCTCAAATTGCTTTCCGACCGCCCTGGGGCCCGAAAGAGACAGAAAAGATGTCGAAGACGCACGTCTGATTTGTTTCAACAACTAGACCTTGGAGGTCTGGAATCATTTTGCAGGATGCCCAGGACGGAAGGCGTCACACGTGCGTGGCGAGACCACCTCCGCCATCTCAGTTCGGCCAGGGAAGCTTTTCAGCTCGAATGCCTCGACGTGATGGAAGGTACGTGGAATGAGGTGCCAACGCAGGAAACGAGCAGTCTGCGGTACTCTCGGGAAGGCGAGTGGCAAGACTCCGAGTGGCCTCCGCGATCTCTCGAGGCCTCCGAAGACCTCGGGGAGAGGACGGAAATATTGCGAAGGGGTGCACGGTCACGGAGCCAGCCTCCCCACCCCCCCTGGAGGGCTACAAGAAGCGAAAACATCGTCCCGCGGACATTGTACACATACGTATATACACAGATATACATACATACATATATAGGGAGAGAGAGAGAGAGAGAGAGAGAAAGAAAAAAAAGAAAGGAGAGAAAGAGAGAGAGAGAGAGAGATCAGCACCGCAGGATGAGCAAACATCCCTTCAGGTGTGCAGACGCACGTGGCCGCATGTCAACACGGATGGGCGAGCTCGACCATGATACCGATGGAAAGCCCCAATGTATGGCTAGAGGAAGCAAACACATCGACACGCAAATATTACGTATACACATACGCATATACATATAGACAGAAGGAGAAAGAGGGAGAGAGAGAGAGAGAGAGATCTGCACCACAAGGTGATCAAACATCTCTTCAGGTGTGCACACGCACGTGGGCGCATTTCAACATGGATGGGCGATCTCGACCATGATACCAATGGAAAGTTCACTGGCACGGGTACACCGAACATCTGCCCATGACCTCTCAAACGAAACGTCATCAACGCCCATGACGAGAATCACACATTCACCACTTCATCCGTCGCCAACCACACAGTCAACAGAAAGAGAACCAACGACGCGTCCCAGCTGGGTCTCTCAGCAGCCACCTCGCACGGATCTGCAACATGTGCTGCTCGACTTGAGCCCAATCACTTGTCGCCCTCAACCATTGCTTCATACACATGAGCTGGCAACCACCCGAACCTCGCTGCAACATGAATGCGCATCCAAACGGCAACTTTGTCATTCTCCGAAGTGCCCCGACGGCGCTAGAAGCGCCCGAGGTCGAGCACGTGGCGAAACCGCCCCTCGTGGTCGGGGATCTTCTGACCCGGGTCAATCCTGCAAAATCCTTCAAGATCCTGCACCCAAACCCGGGTCAATGCGAAGGATCCTGCAAGACCCTGCAGGATCCTGCGCCCAGTCCCGGGTCAATGCGACCCTGGCCCTGCAGGGTCCTGCCAGATCGGGCGCTCTGGCTGACCCCCGCTTGCACTGACCCCCGTCGCAAGGCTCCCGACGTGGCTCCTCGACACGATGCCCAGCGGTCAGGGTCGATGCGGCGCTGCTGCCCCCCAGACCGAACCCTCTGGCATCGTGTCGTCTCCTCACGGCGTGGGCCCGAAGGCTCTCTCGAGCCCAGGTCACCGGGACAATCTTTGTCGTCGGCGGTCGGTGGGCGACGGCCCCGAGTGCCGAGAACGACGCCTGCACGCCAAGCGGCCAGGCACGTCACACCACAGAAAACCCAATTGAGCGTTCCCAAGTGCAAAGCAACGACAGCGCGCTAGGTGGGCGATACCAAAGGATGACCCATGCGTGCTTATATATACATATATATATATACAAACATGCATACATACATACATACATACATACATACATATATATATATATATATATATATGTATGGGCCTTCTCCTCTGACATCTGCTCTGCTCGTTGCTCTCTGATCTCTCCTCTCTGCTCTCTACTCTGCACCCTCCTCTCTGCATTTGACATTTGACCTTTACCTCTCCAACTTCGTCTACGCTCCAATTCCCTAAGCTCCACAATAGATTCTCAATCCTCCACTCCTGCTTCTCGCCTCTCCACTCTAGTCTGTCCGCTCTTCTTACTGCACTCTGACTTTGTGTTTTGCTCCATGCTTTCTGTTCACGAACCTCCACCAACGTTAGCATGATGCACGTGCACATGTACGAGGGAACGCGTTTCGTGGAGGAGGAGGCCGAGGAGGAGGAGAAGAACGCTTGCCTGGGGAAAAAACACCTTGACACGTTGAAGTCGCTCCCGCTCCCCAGAAAATGATCGCCCCTGGAGAAACGGCCCCCCCCCTCCACATAACCTAGGGGAGGGGGCTCTCCAAGGGGACGGGGGTTCGAACCAGGGAGGGGGGGGGGCCTTGTCCAAGGGGAGGGAGGTGGTTCAAACCTGGGGGCGGGGGGCCCCCGGGTTGCAGAGGGGGGGTGGCGGGGTTCAAGCCGGAAGGGGAGGGTTTGAAGGCCCCGTCCAAAAGGGGGAGGGGGCTCGAACCGGCGGGGGAAAGCATACTTTGCAAGGGGGGCGGGGAGAAACGGGTTCGAGCCAGGCCCCCCCTGCCCAACCCGCCGGAGCAGGGCGGGGGCGAGGGAGCACGGAGGAGCGAAGGGTGGCAGGCGAGCGGGCGAGCGAACGAGAGCAGGCTGGCCGCTCGCTGGTCTGGAGCACGCGTATGCGAGCGAACGAGGAGGCCAGCCTGCTCCCGCGCTCGCTGCCTCGAGCGGGGAGCGGGGCGGGTGGGGCTGGACATCACGTGCATGGGAATGATTTGCTCGCTCGCTCGCTCGACCAACCGTGCGAGCGAGTCGGGCGGGTCGGGTCGGGTCGGGCTGGAAAGCAAATGCATGGTGCTCGCCTGCTCGCTCGTTAGACGGAGCAAGCATGCGAGCGAGCGAGCGAGCTAAGGGAGGGAGTATGCTCCATGTAGCGAGCATGCTCGCTACATGGAGCAAGCATGCGAGCGAGCCCTTGCTTTGGATGTCCAAACGATCTACTTGGGAATCGCGCTAACACTCGAAACTTCCTTGACATTCATGTTGGATCAATGCTTCAACGACCCGCTCGCTCGACCCTGCTGTCTGGGCCCGCCCGCCCGACCTGCCCATTAGGGTGCGCCCGCCCGACCCGCCCATTTGGTTGTGCCGCTTCTACTCCTGCTCCTAACCCTCCTCCTGCAAATCTCTCTCGTGCTCCATCTGTCTTCCTCACCCTTGTCTCTTCCCTTCCTTCCTTCCCCTGTTTTAGGGACTGCGCCAACTACACGCGGCACGTAGGAAGATATAACTCGAAGGGAGGGACTATCGAAGACGAATAGGGCGGGTATCCACAGTTTGGGATATACGTGTGTTGTATCACACGAAGTCAGATAGGAGCGAATTGTCGTACCATGACTATTGTTGTATGTGTGCTGTCTGTTGTTGTTCATGTGGTTGTTGCCGTTACTGATATTATTGTTGTTGTTTCGGCTGTTGTTGTTGTTGCTGCTCTTGTTGTTGTTACTGGTGTAGTTGTTGTTATTGTTGATGTTGTTGTTGCTGGTGTTGTTGTTGCTGTTGTTGTTGTTGTGTGGTGTTGCTGTTGTTAACGTCATTGCTGGTGTTGTTGCTGTCGTCCCACGCGCGACCTGGCCCACGACCCACCCGCGACCCACCCGCGACCCACCCTCAACCCACCCGCGATCCACCCGCGACGCACCGGCGACCCGCCCGCGACCCACCTGCGACCCACCTCGCGCCCGCACCCTCACGCTTATGCGTAACTGCGGGGTTCTACGTGTGTATGTGTATATATATACAAACATATACATGTATACGTGTGTCGAGCAAATACACACTTCTTCCCCCACTAGCTCTGTACTCTCGCCTCTCTTCCTTCGAATATGGGAGCCTGGTAACTCGGCCGCCCACCGGAACAGACAACATGCCTTCATCAACAACTGCAACCAAGTACGCGGGAACCCCAACATACATAAAACCCTGGAACCAAACCGCCTACCGAACTCGGCCCGACTGGTTCATCAATTATTGAGAACTTCGTCAAGTACCCAGTCAGTGCAGCGATTGCTTGAACGACATAACGATGCATCACGCCCGTCGCGAGATGCTTCGACTTTCATCATGAAAACTGGACATTTCGCCGCCAGGTCCCCGAACGAACCCGTGCACTTCCTTTTTGGAGCGCGTTCCGACTAGGATTTCGAGGCGGACGCAGCCGAGGCTACGAGGGCCACTCCACTAAATATTGAACACGTCTAAACTTAGGTTGGGCATGTCCTCCTACAGAGGTGTTTTGGAAGAAACTGAGAATAGTCGAAGTAGTCTAAAATAATCCAACGAGCACGGAAACTCGTCGCCAGACTATCTGTCTAAAGCTAGTATTGCATACTCCTGCCGTAGAGGGACATGCCCGACGTACGTCCAAATCCATCCTCCCTCTCTCGCTCTCGCTGGCGCACCTCGTGCCCCCGCCCCGTCCCCTCCTCCTCCCCCTAACTCGCGCCCCGAGTTGCGTACCCCCCCGCCCCCCTGGTGCCACTGCCCCTCCACCTCCCCCTATCCTCTTCTTGGGCATGCTGTGGGGCATGCGCACCCGCAGCGTTGGCCCCATCCTCCACCTCCGCCTCGCCCTCCCCCCTCCCCCCTTGCCTGTTCTCCCCGCCGTCCCCCCCTCAGGTCCGTGGCCAGAACCCTATATGCTCCCCGCCGTCCGTGGCCACCATCACGCGCATCAGGAATCGGCGCAGGTGGCTCTCGTCACAGCGGACGCGCCACAGCCAGTCGTCCCCCAGCCACTTCGGCAGCACCTCGGCTTGGGCGAGCGGGGCGTGGGAGACGTGCTGCCTGCTATGAGGGACAGGAAGATGAGCGGCGACCCAAAGAGGGGGTATGATCCTCCCCCTCCTCGCCCTCCTCGCCCTGATCCAGTTCTAGGCGACCGGTGACCCCCTTGCCACGGCTCGACGCGGCCAAGAGAGCGGGTCAGGATGGTGCCTGGGCGGAGCGGGAGGCTTCGCGGAGATGTTCGGCGCGTTGAGTCTGGACTTGTATCAATTCATGTAGTTGCGTTTCTTCGTTTCCAAAGGATTTCTGGGTAGAGAGTTCTCGTCACAAGGGGGAACACGAGAGACGGGTCACGCCACCCAAGCGCCGACCAATGCTACCATGGGCACCGTGAGCGCAAAGATGTAGAGCAGGGGGCTCGAATGGGAGAAGGCACAGGCCGCTCGGCGTAAGCAGGTTGAAGCGTGAATCAGAAAAGCGGTCAACAGAATGGGTATCTGCCAACTCAAAACAATGCGGACAAACGGAAGCCAGGTCGACTGCTGAAGTGGGAAAGCGCTTCCAAGTGGGTTGGGATCCAGGAGTCCAAACATATACCCTTTCGGCCAACAGCCTGTGCGCCTCCCACCGTTGGCCCCTTCAAGGCGGGATCGACCATTACAAGCCTCCCTGCCGTCTGCCAAGCTCGCGCTATGCTTGATCCATCGGCGAGTGCCGTTGGAGACTCGGGGATGCATGAGAATCGAGCGGGCCACTGTGCAATCCTGTGGGAATGATGCAGGAGGGAAGGACAGCGCGCAACATAGCGAGATGCATTTCGCCAGACAGAAAACGCGCTGGTGGAGAGGTAAAGGCAAGCTCTCCTTCAACCCCCGTGCATGATGCAGGATGGCGAAACATGGGGGGAACGATTAAAAGCTTCTTTGATTATGATATGTTTATTCAACGGGAGGAAGACGATCAAAACATATATCTATTACACGTCGGCTTCGAATATTGCGTCGAATACTTATTTCACGTCGTCGTCAAATTCTACGTTAAATAATCATTCGACGTCGGCTTCAAACTTTTACGTCAAATACTCGTTCCACGTCGGCTTCTGCTCATTTGACGTCGGATTCAAATGTTACGTCAAATACACAATCCGCGTCGAATTTAAAGTTTGCAACGACGGCAGGGGGGGAACTATTAAAAAATAAGTTCCCAACCCGCGGCCGGTTTTATTCTAATCATCCTCCGGGGCGCCGCCGACGCAACACTGCCCCGGTCATTTATTAATCATCATCATACATTACGGACTGGGCTGCAGGACGGCGGTATGAGCGGCGCGGGTGCCAGCGAACCCAGGAGGCGACAAGCTCGACACAATGTTCAAATATGAAATGCTGTAACCGGGAATGGGAGGATATTCTTGACTTAAGCACAGATCTATGCTCTCTAGTACAAAGGATCATGTAACGCCCCTATAGCGTTGAGGACCTTGTTTTCGAAGTGGGGGTGTAGACTAGATATGTAGGCTGCATAAAGAGCTCGGCTCAACGACTAGTACGTCCGGACCCCTGCTCCCAAGTTACACCACCAGATAAACAGACACCCGATCCCCAAGCGCGCTTGCCCGCGACCGCGACCATGCATTCCCGGATGTTCTCACCTCTCTGCGATCTGCCCGCTCCACCCATCTACGACATACTTCGCACTCTCCCATACAGCTATGAATCCCACCAGCCCTCTGGGCGTCGGTGGTTTAGGGCGTTTCCTCTTCCACCCCTCCTTCTCCCTCCCCATGGACCTGGACGGGGAGGTTCGCGAGTCGTCGGAGCGTCCAAAACGGCCTCGGCGAGGAAGCCAAAATCATTGGTTTTACTAGGGTGTTGGCCCCATTTTGGCCTCTTGGGGGGGACGCTAATTAATGCTCCCCTCTTGTTTGATCGATCTCCTCCGAGATGGCCCCAAGAAGCGCCCAGGAGGTCCCAAGAGGTCCCAAGATGGCCCCAAGATGGCCCCAAGAGGCCCCAAAGAGGCCCCCAGGAGGCCCCCAAAAGGACCCCAAGCGGCCCCAAGAGGCCCCCCCGAGGCACCCAAGACGCCGAAGAGCCCCCCACGACCGCCAAGAGACCCCAAAGACGTCCTCAGACGCACAAGAGATACCCCAAGAGGCTCCGAGAAGCATCCAAGAGACCTCTGGCCCTTTTGCTTGCTCTTCTCATCCTCCTCCTCCTTCCTCTTCCTATCCCTTCTCCTTCTCCTCCTCCCCCTCCGCCTCCTCCTCCTCCTCCTCATCACCATCATCCTCTTCGTCCTCCTTCTCCCTACTCCCCCATCTATCCATCCATCCATCCATCCATCCAATTTTCTCCTTCGCCCTCTCTCTCCTTCACACGGTTCGGCCGTCCACCTCTTTGCTCCCGCACTTCCCTGATCACCTCTCAACTCGCCTGGACCTCGTTTCTGGATGGGCAAGTGGGGATACTTTTTTGTCAGCGACCGCAGGCGAGCGCGCCAGCGGCGAGTCGAGTCAGAGCGGGCCGCGCAAAGACGAATTTACCTAAAGCGGTGGGCCAGAGCCTCAGGGCTGGTGGTGATACGCGACGCGTCCAGAATTATACTAAGGATGCCCGATAAGGATGCAACCCGCTCGGACGCTCATTCCGAAGCTCTTCGGGCGGGGCTGGCCCCCATCGAAAGTGGTCAAGGCTGGGCCGAAGAGCCAAGGATGCAATGGCGCCCTTGGGACGGTTACCCTGTCTTATTGTCAACTTCGACTGAAGGTCACAACTGGGCATCGACCATATGAACACCGCCCCTGCACCCGCTATCAATCCGCAACCGTGCCTGCTCGGGGCGGGCGTGCTGGAATACTCGCCTGTTGCCTGGGAGGTGCTGTAGAGTTTTAAGGGCCCCCCCCGCTCCTTGCGCGCGTCCCTGGAACACCGCCCCATCTGGAATTGCGTTCTGGCGGTCTGCTCGGCCTCCAGACGGCCAAGATGGCCTCCAAGACGGTGTCCAAGACAGCTAAGGCGACAACACACCGGCTCAAGATAGCCCGAGACAGCTCAAGAGACCCTCAAGAGAGCCCCAAGACGGCCCAAGACGGCCCAAGAGGGCCTAAAGACGACACAAGCGGCCCCCCCAAGACGGCCCGAGAGAGCTACAAGACTGGATAGCCCGAGGGGGCCAAAACCATTGATTGTCCTTTGGCCTTTGAAGGATGTTGAGGTTCTCGCCTGTTCGGGTTCACGACCACCGAGGACTGCCCAAGAAGCCTCCAAGATAGCTCCGAGGCGTCCCAAGAGGCGCCCAAGAGGGTCCCAAGTCGGCCCACGGGGACCCAAAGATCGCCCAAGGGGCCCCTGAAGAGGGCCTCACGGCGGCCCTGAAGTGCTCCCAAAGAGCAACAAGGCGGCCCAGAGAGGCCTCTTGGGCAGCACCAGGCGGTCGGAAACCCAAACATGCCAGAACCTCAAAATCCTTGAATTACCAAAGGGACATCAATGGCCTTGGCCTCCTCGGGCTCTCCGGGAGGGTCTCCTGGGGACCTTTCTGGGCCGTCGCGGGGACCTCTTGATCTGTCCTGCAGCCTTCTTGGGGGCCCGACGGCCTCCAGGACGGCGTTCAAGGCAGCCAAAGTGACGCCAAAATGGCCCAAGACAGCCCGAGAGGCTCCCAAGACCGCCTCAAAGCAGATCAAGAAGCCCCCAAGACGGCCCAAGAGGTACCCAAGAGGTCCTCCTGGAGAGCCCGAAGAGGTCAGGAATAGTGATGTTTGTTTAGCTGTTGGCAGAAGTTGGAGTTCTCGCCTGGTCGGGCCTCCGACCTCCCAAGACGACCCAAAAAGCCTCCCAGAAGCCTCCAAGATAGCTCCAAGACAGTGCACGAGGCCCCGAGGAGAGAGGGCCCAAAGTCGGCCCAAGATGACCCAACGATCGCCCACAAGGCTCCCAAGAAGGCCCCCAGACGGCAGTGATCCGCTCCAAGAGGGCACCAACGCGGCTGAGGGAGGCCCCCAAGGCGGCCTCCAAAAGCGTCAGGCGGGCCAAGAGTCCCTGAAGACGGCCCAGGCGGCCCCACGAGGCCCTCAAGAGGTCCCATGAGTTCCCCAAGAGGCCCCAAAGAAGCTCACAGGAGGCCCCAAGGAAGTCCCAAGAAGCCTTCTCCTCCTCATCATCCTCAGTTTCTCCCTCTCCTCTTTCTCCTCCTCCTCGTCCTCAATCTCCTCCTCCTCCTCCTACTCCTCTGCTCCTCCTCCTCCTCCTCCTCCTCCTCCTCCTCCTCTTCCTCCTCCTCCTCCTCCCTTTCGCGCGGGCGAAGACGAGGTCAGGATCACGACCTGCCCCAATGCAGACCACTCTTTGGAATTACGCTGTTCCTGCACTCAACCTCCTTCTTGCTGCACTGTCGCACAGGCACGGTGGCGGAATTTGCCGCAGGCAGCTGGATATCATCATGACGCTAGGAGCTCCACGACGTAGAAGCATACGGGGAGACCTCGGAACCACGAGTTGCAGGTAAAGACAACAACAGCTGGACGGCATTAAGAAAGCCAGCCCGGATCCGAGAGAAAAAGCAACGAGGCACACACCTGATATCACAACGGGGCGCTTACCCGCATCAGCGGCAAATACGATGTATGCAACCTATCATTGCGTAAAGCCATTAAGCGAAAGTGATGCGAAAATAGCTGCTATGCGAACGATGCAAGTGCGCAGACGGATCTGCCTCGAATTGGAACCTCGTTCCAGACACACGCATGTGGGCAACATGATAGTAGAAAACGCTTCGCGAAGCCGAGATTAGTCTATCAGCCTGGCCTTGTGCTACTAGCCTGCAAAGCCTGGGGCAACATCACAAGCAACCATCGATGGCCCAAAGGGATCATGTTGGTCAACAATGAGACTCGTCGACGGGCCCGAAGGCGGAGAAAACAACAAACTAGATGCCCAAAAGAGGGAGGAGTAAACGGAAATACTGAGAGAACAGTGCAATACACCAATGCAACTCCTGTTTCTGCTCTCCTCCTGCTCCGGGACGGCATCACTGCTCTTGCAAATGGCTGTACGAATAGCAGGCAGCGGCATACGGCTATTCTTAAGACTGCACAAGAAAATCGCGTGATTCCCCTTGTCCGTTTGCGAGTAGCAACCTCGCGGGTAGTGGTACGCTTTCGCCGATGTGGGGGGGGACGAATGGGCTACCGACGCAGACTCTTCAACTTGGGCAGGATCACCCCCCTAGCTTTTCCGATATCGCCAGCGAGGAAAAGAAAGAGAACGGAGAAAGCCCTTCCCTAGCCCTAGCCAAAGGGCCCCGACATACAAAATCAAAGCCAGATCCAGCTGTCCCATCGGATAAGCTAGGCTGCACTCGGACTCCCATCGCAAGAGTCTGACCCTACGCAGTGACTTCACCCTTGGGGCTTGGCCTTTTGGAGAGCGCCGTCTGAAGTACGATCGGCATCTGCATCTACATACTGACAAGAGTACACAGGTGGGCCTCACCAGGTGCATCGCGCATCCACATTCGCCACAACCACGTATGCATCGGAGTATACCCCTGCGCGCACAATGATTGTTAAGAGTCCGTGGTCGGTCACACCTGCACATACATTCACACATGCAACCGACTGTTTACATCCATGATGAACGTTTTCTTGTTCGGCGTTTCGGCATTGCGCGGAAGGGGGGGAGAGGGGGGTCTGGCTCCGGGCCTCTGCTTAATGCCACTGTTTGCAACCGCGCGTCCATTCTGGGGGAGACTTCGCCTGCGTGTAACAGTGTCACAGGCGCCGAAAACAGCCAAGACCTACTCCATGGGGGGGGAAGAGGGGGGGGTGCGAGGGTCCGCGCCGATCGGCAAATCGTCTATGCTGAGCATAGACACACATATACCAAGCATACAACAGATCCGCAACCTTGCAAGCAGGCACGCTGGGACATGCTGCCTGCCCGCCCTGTCGCCGGCACAGCAGCAGCTCCGTAGTCTATCCACGGACACTCCATGTGGGATTGCCTCCTCACTGAGGGGCCGCAAGTCGCTCCGAGCACGCTGTAGACAGCCAAAGTATTAACTCGGGCATGTCCCTTTACAGGAGGACTATTCAAATATAGTCAAAAATGCGGGGGTGATGTACTATGTTTTGACTATGTTGTGGGATGTTTCGAATCTGTTTCATTGTTTCGCCCAAAATCCGCCTGTAGTGGGACATGCCCAACCTAACCCAAGTGCCCCACCCCGCCCCCACCAACGCGGCCCAAGACGGACCCCATTCGGCCCCACGATTGCTCGAGAACCCGCCAATACGGCCCAAAGAGGGGTTCAGGACTGCCGCAAGACTCGCACAGCTGCCCACAGGATGGTTCAACTGAGCCTCTTCGGGAGAGCGTGGTCGAACCATCGCGCCCAAGACTGCCCCGACACCCTCCAACGGGCCCTCAACGGGATCCCAAGAGGTTGCGAGTATAGCCCCAAACAGCTCCGAAGAGGGCCCATGTAGGCCTTCCCAGAGGGCCCAAGGATACAATGGGGGCCCGTCCACAAGAAACCTTCCACAAGAAACCCAACCCTGAGACCCCAGGACGCCCACTGATTTTTGGTATGTGAACGTCACGGTTCCCATATCAAAACCATCGAAACCCAAGAAACCCAGGGCACCCTGGAGGCAGGCAGAGTGTTTCTTGGCATGGGCCTCCACTGTACTGGAGGAAAAGGATGAGGAATGAGGATGGAGCGTGAGGAGAACGGGGCTGCACGCACGCAGGAGTTGTTTGAGGGGCTGAGTTGAGACACGCGCAGATTTAGACAGGGTGCTGGACTGGAACAGGACTCGAGCTCGACCTCCTTCCTGCTGCGCTGCTGCGCTGCTGCGCTGGTACGGTGCCGAGGTCTGCTGACGGGCAACTGGAGACATCACGTAACTTTATCTTTCGTGGAATGTCCATAAGCACATTCATGTACAAAAGGTACCTACACGGGTGCACCTACACAGCTGCACACTCATACACAGACTCAACGCCCAGCAGTTGACAACAAGGGCGAAGGGAGGGGTTGATCGGCAGTTTGCGAGGTTCGGAAATTCAATGCGAAGAAGCCCAACCGCATGCGCCGATTGCCTCCAACACAACGAGCCCGCCGCATGAACCTATTTGAAAACACAATGGGTGGATTCAGGATGTGTCGCCGGCAAGTCGCTAGGCAAATCGCGCGGGGGGTCGCGGGTGGAACGCGCGTGGGTCGCGTGTGGATGACGGGACAGGTCGCGCGCGGGTCGCGGGTATGTCGCAAGGCGGGTCACGGGTGTGTTATGGGTGGGTCTCGGGGCAGGTCGCGGGTGGGTCGCGGGGCGGATCGCGGTGCGGGGTGCAAACAACGACAATCCACACCGCATAACCCCAATTCAGCCGCGCACACAGTGACAATGTTGTATGACCGCTCAGCCCCCCGCCCTGTCTGATTCGCAGAGCATATTCGTACACACACTGAACGTGTCCAAGCAGGAGGAGTCAAGATACGCTGTTCGCAAGGATAGCAGAGTGCAAACACGTGTCACAACGGTGACCTCCATATAAAAATACGCATGTCGACGCAGCGCCGTACGCCGCCCAAAAATAGCAGATTAGGTGAAATTGAGCGCCAAACCAAACTATCCCAGGTACGCACATTGGATGCAAAGCTCCAGACCTGCCAAGAAGCCGAGCTGCTTCGGTGCGCAGACCGCCTGCCCATTGACCGGTGTGTCCGAAGCAGCCCGAGGAAGAGAGGAGTCGCAGATCCTGCCACTGCTCCGTCGACACAGGAGCCCTGTGCTCGCCCATCGCGCTCTCCCCCTGACCACTAGGCACGGTCGTGGCCCATCATGACATTGGGCAGCTCTCCTCCTCCTCCTGCTCCTCATCCTCCTTCTCCTCCGCCTCCTCCCCCTCTACCCTCAGCCGCCACTGCGACCTCCCTCTGACGACCAGGCACGGTCGCGACCAGTCATGATACTGGCCAGCTGTCCTCCTCCTCTTCCTCCTCTACGTACCCACGGCCGCAACTACGTCTGTCTCTCTCTCTCTCTCTCTCTCTCTCTCCCTCTCTCTGTCTCTCTCTCTCTGTCTCTCTCTATCTTGCAATATGTCCCTCTCTCTGCATCTGCCCCAACTGCCCCGACCCCGAGCGGCCGCGACGATAAAGCAGGTAAGCAGCGACGCGCAGCACGAGAGGTGCTGAGCTCCAGCAGCGGCCTGCCGCGCGCGCCACCGTCCACTCTTCAGCATGTACGGCATCGCTTCACCTCGTACCCTGCTGTAGCAGGTTCATGTCGTGACGACCCGCACGTTGGTTTCCAACACCGCGCGGATCGTTCAACCTTGAACTATTGGCGGCGTTCCGATCGCCAGATCGTTCCATGTCGGCCGATTCTGGGCCACCCGCGGAATACAACCTTGAACGCCCGCGGCGGGGTCGCCGCCGCGTCGACGCGACACGAATCTGCCGTACTTTCGCCAAATGCCCGCCCTTCCCCCCCCCCGCTGACGAGGCCTGGCCGGCAAGACTGTGAGACACGACCATTGGCATCATCCGCCCTGCTACATCGATCTGCAATTCGGCGATACCCAGCTGATTGTCAGAACCATCGACGTACCGAACTACATCGGTTAGCGTCTCGGTGGCACTGTGCCCTCCATTTGAAGGGTGACGCTGCAACGGCTTGGTAGAGTGGCTGGCACCAGTCATGTCTACACACGGCCATATTCCACAATCACCCTGGAAGACCTGACCATGTGCCGTCCTTACGGGTCACCTTACTGCTCATGAAGCATGCTGCTCAGACCGTGCTCTTTCGATACTCAAGGATCAGCGTGCCCACAAGGCGATTCCCAACGCCGCGAAGCTGCCCGCCGCCAAGACGTCCTTGTCTCGCCTCCACCTTAGGTCTCTGACTTCATATAAACTCCGGAAAGCACGGCGCTTGCCGCCATCGTAAATACTGACTGAGCAACAAGTGGCCGACTCATAGCGCCTTGGTGACATGGGAATCAACCTCTCGTATCGGTCAGAGACGACTCGGGAAGTTAGCAGGAGATACTACTGGGTCGGAGAATAGTTTCGTCCCATATTAAGTCTTGGCGACCGAAATCAAGAGACGCAGAACACATTGCGAACAACTCGCAACCAAGCAAGACACCTCTTCCTTACGGCATCTTCGGCTACATTCATCGTGCCACATGTTGTTACAACGTCCGGAAGAGCGCGTTCTGTGGGCGCTTGGAGGGAGGGGGGGGTCCGAATCGGCTCTCCCCTTTAGGGGGGGGGGCGTTGCTGCGCTGGCGCAAGCGGCGGCCCCCCTCCCCCTCCCAGGCAGGCGCCGCCGCCGGCGCTGGCTGGCGGCGGCGGCGGGGCCGCTGGCGACGACGACGACGACGACGGAGACGACGGCGACGGCGACGGCGACGACGAGCACGACGACGACGTCGACGACGTCGATGGCGGCGACAACGACGGCGACGACAACGACGACGTTCAGCACGACAATCACGAAGGCGATGACGACGACGACGAAGGCGACGACGAAGGGGACGAGGACGATGTCGACGACGACGACGGCGACAACGACGGCGACGACGACAAAGATTGCGACGACGGCGACGACACCGACGAAGACGGTGAGCACGGCGACAACGACGACGACGACGACGACGGCGGCGACGGTGACGGCGACGAGCACGGCGACGACGACGACGACGACGACGACGGCGACGACGTCGACAACAACGACGGCGGATACGACGACGACGGCGGCGACGACCACGGCGGCGGCGGTGACGACGACGGCTTAGAAAACGACGGCGACGACGACGACGACGACAAGCACGAAGACGACGACGATTGCGACGACGGCGACGACGACGACGACGGCGGCGGCGACGACGGCGACGACGACGGAGACGACGGCGGCGGCGGCGACGACCACGACGGCGAAGACGACGACGATGACGACGACGACGACGACGACGACTACGGCGACGACGGCGACGGCGACGACAAAGACGACGGCGACGACGACGATGTCGACGACGACGACGACGACGACGAGCACGACGACGATGACGACGACGACGGCGAAGACGACGACGAGAAATACGGCGGAGGCCACGACGACGACGACGACGGCGACGACGACAACAACGACGACGACGACGACGACGGCGACGACGAGCATGACTACGACGGCGACGACGACGACGGCCACGAACTCAACAACGAGGCGACGAAGACGACGACAAAGACGACGACCACGATGACGACGACGGCAACGACGACGACGACGAAAACGAAGACGACGACCGCAAGGACGACGGCGACGACGACGGCGACGACGACGATGAAGACGACGACGACGACGTCGGCGAGGACGACGACGAAGACGTCGGCGAGACCGACGACGTCGACGGCGACGATGACATCGACGAGCACGACGACGACGGCGACGACGGCAACGACGACGACGACGATGGTGGCGACGACGGCGACGATGATGGCAACGACGACAAGCACGGCGACGACGACGGCGGCGACAACGACGACGGCGGCAACGACGGCGACGACGACCACGATGACGGCGGCGCGACGAGCACGACGACGTCGTCGACGACGACGCTGGCGACGTCGGCGACCACGACGACGTCGACGACCACGACGAATAACACCACGACGACGACGACGACGACGACGGCGACGACGACGGCGACGGCGACGACGACGACGACGGCGATGACAGCGACGACGACGACGACGATGGCGACGACGACGATGACGGCGGCGACGTCGATGATAACTGCGAAAACGACGACGACGAGCACGGAGACGACAACGACGTCGCCGAAGAATACGACGCCACCGGCGACGACGACGACCACAATGACGACGACGAAGGCGACGACGACGACGACGTCGGCGACGATTGCGGGCACGACGACGACGAGACGGCGAAGGCGACGACGACGGCGGCGATGATGGCGACAACGACGACGACAGCAAAGACGACGACGACGACGTCAACGACGGCAACAACGACGACGAACACGGCAGCGACGACGACGACGACGAAGACAGCGACGGCGACGACGACGACGACGATGACGACGGCGACGGCGACGACGACAACGACGACAACGACCATAACGAAGGCGACGACGACGACGGTGACGGCGACCACGACGTCTTCGAGCATGACAACGACGACGACTACAACGACGTCGACAACGACAACGGCGACGACGGCGACAACGACGACGCTGCCGGCCACCGCGGGCGCCTGAGGAGAGAGCCGTTCGGGGAGGGGGGGGGGAAGGGGGAAAGGCGCCCCCTGGGTCAAACGTGTCGTCGAATATTCCCAAGGTAAGCGCCAGTGAAACGCGCTCCCTCCAACGTCCGGCTCCCCCTCCCAAACGAATTCGGCCCCCGGGGCCCCCAAACGAATTCGGCCCAAAACGAATTCGGCCCCCGGGGCCCCCTGGATGCCCCTGCAAAGCGTGTTCTCAGGTCGGGTCCGAGTAGATAGGGTTGGAGGATCGCGCCGCACCGCCGATGCATCGCCGATGCATCCGCGATGCATCGGTGATGTATCGGCGACGTCAGGGATGCACCGCCGACGTCGGCGTAAAGAAAATCGGGCTACACATCAAACCGCATCGCCGATGCATCGGCGACGCGGCGCGACCCTCCGACCCCAACTACTCGGAATCCATCTGGGAGGCCTACGTAGACTCGCTGGGCCTCGAGAACAGGCCCCCAAAAATAGGCCTTGAGAGGGCGCCCGAACGGTCTCTGGCAGGGCCTCCCCCGCCCCCCCCATGCTTCCTCCTCCGCATGCTCCGCCTGCCTGCAGGGTCGAGGCGGGGGCGCGAAAGCTTCCCGCCCCGCCCTCCCACACATCACCGAGCAATTGCGGCGGGGGAGTGGGCGGCCCAGTCTGGCAGGGACTTCTCCGAACGCCGCTGGCAGGGCTGAGGCCGCGCGCACGACCACGGCGCAGGACGCCGCCGTCGCCGCCCCCAGGCACCACGGCGCGTGCGGCACAGCCTGCGGGGCCGCCGCCGTCGACTTCGCCGCCGTGGCAGGCGTCGTCGAGCGATCGAGGGTCGAGGCTCTATGACGATGGGCGCTCTCGGCCCTTCTGGGACGCCGAGTGTTGGCCACGGAGCGATCGAGGGTCGAGGTTCTGAGACAGTGGGCGCTCTCGGCCCTTCTGGGACGCCGAATGTTGGCCATTCTAGGTCTCCGGACGTCTCCACGCTTGCCGCCGCCACCGTCGTCGTGGTCGTCGGAGGAGGAAGGGCGGAGGAGGGCGGCCGTCTTCCTACTCCCGCTCCTGCTCCTGCTGTTTCCCCTCCTCCCTCCGTCTCCATCTTCCTCCCTTCATGACTATATTGGGCGGCACTGCTGCACTAACAAATGGCGACGTGCACGCATCTCCCGCGCTTGCACGCTAGCAACAAGCAGCACGTCACATGTCACCCCGCTCTGCCTATACTTCAGAGAAGGCGGCATAATCAGACAAGTATCAAGCGGGCGGCACCATTGCAAGAAGCAGTACGAAATCTGGCACGCCAATGGGTCGCTGGAAGAAGTTCACGCCGCGGGTCGGATCCAGAATGCTGTATAGCAGTGCCTGTCTCGGCCCAACAACTCCAACCGCAACAAAAAACGAACAACAAAACCAACAACAAATAATAGCACGGATGTGGAACACGGCTTCGGAAGACCATTCCGTCTAACCACGCACTTGCTGTGTATGGTCCACCAATCACCGCGCTGTGGGAAAAGGAGCGCCACCGAATCATGTCCAAACGTATCGTCTATTCAACCAACACCTGGTCGGAGTGCCATACATACAAGAATATGATGAGGTCGCGCGCTAAGGGGGAGAAGAAGCAGGGGCAGGAGGACGTAGAGGATTGTGAGTCCCCCAACTGGCTCAAAGATCGCCCAACTGCTCCGACAGGTGCTGGGCTTCCACTTGACGGCTGACTTCCCCGGTTTGTCTGACTGCCTGCTCCTGCAACAGCTCCCTGATCAAGGCCGCTGGCACGGGCAATTTCTCGGGAGGAGCTGGTGCGTCTATAGTCGGGGTTGACTCGAAGAGGACACGCGAGAGGACCCAAAACCCCTCCGATGGGCCATATTTCCAAGGGAACGCTGGGGGGCAGTGGCCGCGAGCCGCTGGACGCAAGGGTGTTCTTTGATGTGGAAGGGTCGGCCCACGAATTAGCCTCGACTGCGCGCGAAGCGAGAACAATACCATGAGGTCGGGCATGTCCCCCTACAGGCGGATTTTGGGCGAAAAATAGAAAGTAGCCAAACAAACATTCAACCATAGTCAAAACATGGTAGAAGAATCGTTCCCAGACTATTGTGTGACTATGTTTGCGTACTCCTCCTGTAGAGGGACAGGCCCGACTTAACAACCGCATAGCTCTCCGATGGCGGGCGCGGCCTGGCAAGACCCGGGGCACGAGCTCCCCGCAGCCTGTGTGGCTCTCCCGTGGCGGCCCGCCACGGCGGGCGCGCTCTGGCAGGGCGTCCGTTTGGGGTGACCCAGAAGAGGGTCCAGCTGACAGGGGGTGGTGCATTAGACGTGGGGCAAGTGGATTCAGAGGGCAGAAAAACCACCCCGATAATAATCCGCCGACCCCTTGTGGGTCTCTAGGCGTGTGAGATAGTTCCCCCCCATAGTCCCCCCCCATGGGACCCCAAACCGGCGATTTGACCCCCCCCCCCCGGGCCCACGCCGAGCGACTCACGGGCCTCTTTTGGGCCCACATGGGGCTCAAGACGGGCCAAGAAGGCCCCAAGACGTCTCCCAGACGGCCCACGAGGGCCCCGAGACGCCAAACGAGCGCTCCAAGACGCCGAAGACGAGCCAAGAGGCCTCCAAGACGTCCCAAGAGGCCTCCAAGAACAGTCCTCAGAAGGGCCGAAAAGCCGAAAATCATCACATTCCGATGGGAAAACGTACATTTTCATCATATACGACTTGTCGGCCTTGACGGCGTTGAAGACGGGCCAAGAGCACCCCAAGACCGCCCCAAGATGCCCCCAAGAGGCCCCCAAGAGGCGCCCAAGTCGGCCCAAGAGGGCGCCAAGACGGCCCAAGAGGCCCCCAAGACGGCCCAAGGGGGAGCTTGAACCGACAATCCGAGCCTTCCGCCCCAAGACGGCCCAAACGAGCGCTCCAAGACGCCGAAGATGGCCCCAAAACGAGCCAAGAGGCCTCCAAGACGGCCCAAGAGGCCTCCAAGAACAGTCCTCAGAAGGGCCGAAGAGCCGAAAATCATCAAATTCCTACGGGTAAACTTTCATTTTCATCATATACGACTTGTCGGCCTTTACGGCGTTGAAGACGGGCCAAGAGCGCCCCAAGACCGCCCCAAGACGGCCCAAGAGGCCCCCAAGAGGCGCCCAAGTCGGCCCAAGAGGGCGCCAAGACGGCCCAAGAGGCCCCCAAGACGGCCCAAGAGGGCCCCAAGACGGCCCCAAGAGGGGCCCAAGAGGGGGAGCTTGAACCGACAATCCCAGCCTTCCGCCCCAAGACGGCCCAAACGAGCGCTCCAAGACGCCGAAGATGGCCCCAAGACGAGCCAAGAGGCCTCCAAGACGGCCCACGAGGCCTCCAAGAACAGTCCTCAGAAGGGCCGAAGAGCCGAAAATCATCAAATTCCTAAGGGAAAACGTTCATTTTCATCATATACGATTTGTCGGCCTTTACGGCGTTGAAGACGGGCCAAGAGCACCCCAAGACCGCCCCAAGATGCCCCCAAGAGGCGCCCAAGTCGGCCCAAGAGGGCGCCAAGACGGCCCAAGAGGCCCCCAAGACGACCCAAGAGGGCCCCAAGACGGCCCCAAGAGGGGCCCAAGAGGGGGAGCTTGAACCGACAATCCGAGCCGTCCGCCCCAAGACGGCCCAAGAAGGCCCCAAGAGGCCCCAAGAGGCCCCCAAGACGCCCCTAAGAAGCCCCAAAAGGCCCCCAAGAGGGCCACAAACGGCTCCAAAACGGCCCCCAAGAGGGCCCCAAACGGCCCCAAAACGGCCCCCAAGAGGCTTCGAAACTGCCTCCAAGAGTCCCGCGAGAAGCCCCCCAAGAGATCCCCGCGATCACCTCCTCCTCCTCCTCCTCCTCCTCCTCCTCCTCCTACTCCTCTCCTACTTATCCTCCTTCTCCTCTTCCTCCTCCTCACGACCACACGCTGCACGCAACATTGCAGGAGAATGGTGCCGACACTGCATGCGACCCCAGAGAAACCACAACGCTTTTCGAACAAAGGGGTCGGCGGATGTGGCGTACGCCTATAGAATCAGAGAAAAACGCGAGGCCGTTTAGTAAACGCACCCAAAGAAGGAACCAAACAGGGCAAGGCTGCTTAGCAAACACCCAAGGCCGTTTAGTACACGCCGACTGTCGGGTCCGGGTGTTTTTGCACGGATGCGAAAATCCAGCAATACATCTGCGCCCCGGAATGTATTACACGCCTCACATGTGTTGCAACCCCAAAAATCAATTGCATCAAATCTGCTGCACCATCCCCTTGTCGCTGGACCCCCTTCTGGGTCCACCCGATCCCTGCAGGGGCAGACTGCACGTCGCTGGCGGGACTGGCGGAGGGGGGGGCAAGGGTATGGCACCCGTAAGATCAGGTCGGGCATGTCCCGCTACTGGCGGATTTTACTCCAAAATAGCCAAACGATCGTCAACAAATCCAAAAAAGTCGTACCCAGACTGGGTTTGTACTATTTTTGACGATTCCCCCTGTAGAAGGACACGCCCGACTTAACCGTAACATGGTTAAGAACGGCTCTATGGCGTGCGTTGTCTGGCGGGGCCTCCCAGGAGGTCGGACAGCGAGGGTGAAGCTCGTGGAGTGGGAAGGGCACGCGCCCCGATAAAAAGCCAGGGCTCCCAGTCGCCAGGCGGTGTCTGACAGTGCATGCCTGCAAGGTCGGACGACGAGTTGCAAGGCGATGGCGACACAAATCCCTTGGATCAGTTCTCTGACTGCTTGCCAAAGAGCAGGCATTCCTAGATCAGTTCTTTGAAATCGAAGCCACTGACATCTCCAAAAACCACGAGTCAAGTTATCTTGGCTTCCAGTCCCACTCGACACAGGGGAAAGCCATCTCTTTGCCGCCAGCATGGTCGGGCCATCGAAATCTTCGCAGGCATCAATGGGTAAATTCTATGTCTGCTTGCTCCTGGTGGCGGAACCGTTAAACTCAAAGGGTACGCCACCTGGAGGGGGGAGGGAGGAGGATACCATCAATCTCCGATGTACACGACGACGCCCAATGGACAGCACGACGACGGCGAAACTGTTGGGGCGTCAAGCGCACGAAACCTGGACAACCCTCCTCTACTAATCCTCCTCCTCCTCCTCCTCCTCCTCCTCCTCCTCCTCCTCCTCCTCCTCCCTCCTCCCTCCGATAGCAGGCGCGGTCTGGAGGAACTCACCGGGAGATGCAGACGGCCCTTGTAGGACCTGTCCGGTGGAAGGGCACGAAGCCCATATGTACATCTCCTTCTCTGACAGTTTTTGATGGCGCGCACAAGGGAGTAGGCGGAGGGGGGAAGGCTTCTTAGGAGGAGGCTGCTTGGGCGTGGGCAAATGTAAGCACTAATGGGACTAGGTAGATGTGTGTATATATACATATATATATGCATAGACATGCACATCTACATACATATATATACACACAGATCAGTCTTCATACATATATATATATATATGTATTAACATATACCGATATATATATATATATACCTATATATATATATATATATATATATATATGCAAATGTATGTATATATACACATATATGTATACACATGTATGTATACGCCACCGTGCCTCTGGGCACGGAGTGGGCGTGTCCTTAGGTCCTTTGGTCAATCCCCTGAGCCTGAATCTTCAGTCCTGGGACCTCGGAACCCAACATTGCCAAATCTTCCAGGCCTTGGCGCGGTTCCCCTGGAGCTTGCTGCGGTTTACCGCTAACTTTTCGGGCCCAGGACGGCCCGAAGACGGGCCAGGAGAGTCCGAGAGGCCGGCAAGACGGTCCAAGAGGGCCCCGAGTCGCCGAAATATCGCCGCAAGACGCCCAAGATGGCCCCCCAGACGGCCCTAGAAGCCGCCCAGACGCTCGAGGAGGCCTCCAAGAGGCCTCCCAGACGGGGCCGGCCCGAGAAGCCAAAATCGTGTTTTTCCTATGGTTTTTGAAGGAGTGTGGCCCTGTCGCCTTTTCGGCGTGCCGACGATCCAAGACGGCCCAAGAGGCGCCCGAGACCGCCCCAAGACAGCCCAAGAAGCCTCCAAGAGGGCCCCAAGACGGCCCATGAGGGCCAAGACGGCCCATGAGGGCCCCAAGACGGCCCCAAGAAGTGGGCCCGGAACCGAAAATCCGAGCCTTCAGTTCCAAGAGGCTCCAGGAGGCCCCCAAGAGGCCCCAAAAGGCTGATTGGGAAGAAGCCCCCAAGGGACTCCCAAGGGGATCCAACGGGCCTGGGGTACGGATTCGCAAGGGCCCCACACTAATCGCAAGGATGTCCTCAGGATTCGAAGGGGAGTCTTGAGAGTTCGTAAGGGCTTCCTCCCGATACCTGAAGATCCATTCGGATCTCGCAACGTCTCCAAAAAAGAATGCCCCAATGATGTCCGTTGGATTTCTAATTTGGGCCCTCGCAAGGATTCCAAAAATTCTGCAGGGGATTGCTGAGGAAGCCACGGGATTTGCAAGATTCCTTCGGGGGGGGCCAAGGGCCCAGCGTTCGGTGGGGGGGGCCAACGGGCTAGGAACCCCCAGACCTAGCTCCACCATTCTGTATCTGACAACTCAACGCAAGGAAAATGGATTGCCCAAGGGGGTATCCACAGGGGACAAGTTCACTAGAATCCGCATGCAATTGTCTCTCCATTGTTGTTTGGGCTTCGGTGTGGGGGTTGGGAGAAGATTCTCCAGCCTGTAACAACTGTAGTAGTACGAGAAATACTGATAGTCGCAACCTCGCCATCGCACTCAAACAGACTGTAAACAAAAAGTGAAAGACGAGCTCTGTGTCGGCTACGCAAGGCAACAGTGATGACTGTAAACTGATAGTATGGCTGAATCGGTGGCGGGAAAGGAATCCGTCCACCTTGTCGACGTGTGTGTGTGTGTGTGGTGGGGGGCTTGTTCGTTCAAGTCGTCATCTCCGTCATTCGTTGGTCGTCGTCTCTGTCGCCCCCTTTCCCTGCCTCCCCCTTTCCCTGGGCTCGTCGAAGCTCCACCCTTTCCCAGGGACCTCCTCAGCGCGCCAGCCAAAGCGAAGTTGAGCAACTTCGTAGTTGAGTCGAAGGGAAGCCCCTTCCCTTCGATCCCTCCCCCGCCAGGGGGGGGGGTCCCCAGGGGGGGTCCCGGGGGAGGGGGGGGTCCCGGGAGGGGATCCCGGGGAGAGGTCCCGGGGAGGGGGTCAGATACGACGCCCTCCAAAAGACAGTCCAAGAGAACCCCGAATCGCCGAACGATCTGCCCAAGACGCCTTGACGGCCTCCAGACGGCCCAAGAGGCCGGCAAAGCACCCCAAGAGGCCTCCAGGAGCTTTCCCACGAGAGCCCCAAGAGGATACATGTTTGAAACATTTTGGCGTTCTTGCCTCTTCCGCTTCCCGACGCGCCAAGACGGCCCAAGAGGCCCCCAAGATCGCCCCGAGACGGCCCAAGAGGCCCCCAGGCCGAACAGGGCCCCAAGACGGCCCAAGACGCCTCCAAGACGGCCCAAGAGGCTCCCAAGACGGCTCCAGGAGAGTGCCCAGACGGGGGGCCCGAACGGACATTTCGAGCTCTCAGCCCCAAGAGGCCCCCAAGGGGCCCCGAAGACGCCCCAATGAAGCCCCAAGAGGCTCCCAAGGGGCCCCTAAACTGCCCCAAGACAGCCCAGGAGAGCCCCAAATTGCCCAGGAGGCCTCCAAGAGTGCCTCGAGACGGCGCAAGAGGAGCCCTGGACGGCCCAAGGCGGCCTCAAGAGAGCCCCAGGCTGTCCCAAGAAAGCCTCTGGCCTCCTCCTCTTCCTCCTCCTCCTCCTCATCCTCCTCCTCCTCCTCCTCCTCCTCTTCCTCCCCCTCCCCTCTGCTCCCCCTCCTCCTGCTCTCCTCTGCCTCCTTCTCCTCCTCTTGCTTCTCCTCCACATCCTTCTCCCCCCTCCTCCTCCCTAATCCACCTCCTCCACCCTTCCTCCACCTCCCACTCATCCTCCTCCCCCTGCCCCCCCCTCGTTTTCATCTTCGTCGTTCTCAGGGTCGGCGGCACTGGCCGTAAGGCCCTCGCAATAGATGAATCACCCCCAGTCGTGAGATGGGTGAGATTTCAAGTGAAACATGAGGAAAGCTACGACGAACAGCTGCATCAGGAACAATAAGTGGAGGACAAGAAAGAGAAACACAGTGATGTGGAGAAGCAGCAAATGACAGAGAACCATTCGAGTACGACGAGTGACGATGGGCAGGAAGACCTCGAAACGGATTGTCATGAGGAGGGCAAGGGAGATAAGATCGAGGAGGGAAAGGGGGTGAGAGGGGGGCAAGAGGGGGAGGACAAGGGTAGGGGAGGATATGAGGAGAGGGAGGAGGGGGGCCGAGAACGAGGACGAGGATGACGAGGAGAAAGGGGGGGCAGGAGCAGGAAGGCGAGTAATTGGAGGAGGACGAAGTGGAATAAGAGGAGCAATAGCAGGAGGACGACGAGGAGGAGCGACATGAAGAGAAGTAGCAGGAGGGGCAGGAACACCAGGAGGAGCTGCAGGCGGAGAGGGAGGAGGTACAATCACAACGTGAGTATGCACCCTATGGTGAAAAGGACAATACTCAGAAGGAGGAGGAAGAGGAGGAGGAAGGACAAGGGTGAGGACTGACAGCAGGAGAGACGCAACGATGATGCGAACGGAGGCAAGACTAGGGAGAGGAGGAGCAGGAAAGAAGGGAGCAGAACGAGCAGGAACCATGCCTACAAGATCAGACGCAGCAAACCAGCAGGTGATACATGATGGATGACTTGATCCTTCTGGCATTGATACGATATGCGATCGACGATAGTGGATACGATCGGCTCGCGACGTATGCTACTTTGGAACCGTAGTGTTCAAAACTCCATGCCACTATGATGTTTAACACTTCTAAGTCGAACCGGATGATGTATGGCCACAAGCAATTTGAATTCGAATGTCCTTATTTCTACATGATCCGTGACAAAGACAATCGTGCGCTATGCTTATGAAAATGCTACACTTCCTCACTGAGATGCTAACGATGAAGCCATCGGAAACACTGCTACACTACAACAGAACGCCACATCGTTGTCAAGGCTGCATTCGTCATGCAGCCTCAATGTGTTATAGATCCTATTCGAAGCTTGTCTGCTCCAAGATGGCGCGTAATCGCAGGCGCAGGCACCATCTCATTATGCACCAACAACACACACACCACCGATAGCTCGCATGACTACTCCACAAAGCGCAAGGGACCAGCGGCTTTAGATTGCCGACCCCAAGCTCCGAGAGGGGTGCTTCTGGCCCTGGCCACATCCACGCGCTTCCAGTTCTAAGAGGCGTTTGTTTTGAGCAGTCAGGGGGTTGGGTGCGAGATATCGCCTGCGCCCTCCGGAGGCCGACGCGCGACACGGTCACCAAGAGCGTCTGTGCAGCGTGGAGAGCATACACAGCACTGGCAAGCAAAGGAGGCTGGCGAGCGGCACCGCCCACATGTACGGCAACATCAGCACGCGAGCCTGGGCGAGGGTGAACCCCGACGTCCGACATCGCGAGCAAGACAACCCGCAACGAGCACTCATTACTGCAAACGCTCTTCACCTCATCTTCGCGCCTGCTTTCCTGAGCCAGATGGACCCTTGACATGCCCAGAGCGGAGACGAGAAGCACGGGAGTGATTCCTCATAGGATGAGGCGCCACAAAGCTAGCAGCGGCCGCTGATGGGCATGCGACGTCCGCGGCGACACGAACTGGCCTCGATCTTCGCCCCCCGCTACTCCCTTCCCCTCTCGGCCCACCCGAAGTCCGCGATGACCCAGAGCAGGCCCCCCCCCCGACCCCTCCTGGGCTGGGCGGCGCGCCCAGGGGGGGAGTGAGAAAGAACAGGTCCTCTCATGCGAGGCGGGGATTTATCCATATCCACCGTCTGGGAACCGACGTCCTGGTGCCCCAGCGGGCGGTGGATATGGATATAGGGAGCCCGAATATGTCCATATCCACCGCCTGCCGAGGTCCCCGGAAAATTGATCCTCCAGGCGGTGGTCATGTATAAATTCCCGACTCGGATCTCGAGAGGCGGCGGGGCTTCTCAGAAGCCCTCGCGCCTCCTGGGTTCTCGCTGTCCTCGGGGAAGGCGTGCAGAGGACTTCTCGGACGGCCGGAGGCCTCCCGAGCCTTCCGAGGAGGCCCGCTCCTTCTTCCTTTGCCCCCTGCGCACGCCGCCGACGTTGGGATGCAGCTCCTGGGAAGACAAATTCCGAATCGGCGCTAGCAGATCTCTGGAACGAAAACGGGCCCAGTCTGGCTCCATCCCGCTTCACGCGGCTTCTCTTTAGGAGGCAAACGAACCCACCTCGCTTTTGGCCACCCTCGCGTCCAAACGGGAGGCAAACGATACCAGACTGGCCGTGGGGTGGCCTGCAACGGTCAGACTGCTTGACGAGGAAGCGCGTGGCATGACTTGGTTTTGCCTGGAAGCGAAAGCGGGGTAGGTATTCCCCAATCAGTGCTTGCACTGAAGGGGTCCTAGCGGAAATTGAAAGATCTGTCGAACATGTCCCGCCGAATTTGGTGGCCGGCTGGGTTCCTGAGTTCCCGGTTCTGGGCTCCCAGGTTCCTGGTCATTGGTTCCGGTCCGATTTCGGCGGGGTCTGGGTTCCTGGGTTCCCGGTCGATCTCCTCAATAAGGAGATCGACCCCCTTAATAAGGAGATCGATAAAGAGGTCTCCTTAGTAAGGAGATCGATAAATATCGATCCCCTTTCCAACCATCCACTGCTTCGGGGCTCTTCTCTGGTGCAGCAGGCCCTGTGATTCTCACTCCCCCCCTGGGCTCGCCGCCGATGAACGCCACCCCGGCCACTTCTCACAGACGCGCCCAGACGGGGCGCCGAGGCCCCCGACGGCAAACACTGGGTCGGGCATGTCCCCCTACAGGCGGATCTTGGACGAACAACTAAGCATACCCCAAAACAGTCAACAAGCTATCAAACCATCGTCCCCAGACTATTTTCGGAGTATTTTTGAAAATCCCTCCTGTAGAGGGACATGCCCGACTTAAAGCAAACAGCATGGACGAGGATGAGGTATCTGGGGGCCTCCGTGGAGGGAGGTCCGCCCCAGGAGGCGCCCGGGAGGCGCCCGGGAGGCCCCCAGAGGTTCCAGGGAGGCCCAAGAGGATGAGGTCATCCTGCTGCCATGCTGCCGAGGGCGCGAGGCCGAGGTGCACGGTTTCCCCCGGGGCCGTAGGCGACCCGAGGAGGAGGAGGAGGAGGAGGAGGAGGAGGAGGAGGAGGAGGAGGGGGAGGAGGAGCCCTCCAGAGGCTAAGGAATTCTGAAACAAAAACCTCTCGGGAAGCGTGGCCGGCAGCGGCATGCTTGACGCTTCTCTGGGACGCTCGGGGGGTGGCGGCTGCGGGGCTGCGGGGTGGGGCGCACGGGCCGCTTTTGAGCATCGTTTATCCGATCCCCATCCCCAGCGGCGTGGCTTGGGCCCCACTGGCCGATTTACCCCCCTAGATAAGGATACAGGCCGTTCCTTTCGGGCTTCGAGGGGTGTATCCCCAACTTGGGGGGTAATTGGGTGGGGGTCCCGAAAGGGATGGGGATGGGGATGGGGATGGGGGTCGGTTAAGCGATACTGAGCTTTGGGACAACCTCTGACAGCCCAAACTTTTCAGTCCGCGGGCGCCAGGTGGTCCAAGACAATGAGACGCCGACCACCAAACGTTGGGGTGCACCGGAAGCGAAGTGGGGCACGAAGGCGAAGAAGAAAAGAGCGCGATGGCGAACGCCCAAACATGCCCCGTGAGGAACATCCCCAGGGCAACACAAAGCCACCCGAACACCACCAGAGGCCTCTTGAATGGGGTCCGAATGGATGGAGTCGAAGTGACGTTGGCGTGGAGGGCATCGGGCTCCACATCGAGCCGCAGGGCCGATGCATCGGCGATGCGGCGCGATCCTCCGACCCCATCTACTCGGACCCCATTTTTGAGGCCTAGAGTTCTAGCTTAACATCTAAACGCCCGAACATGGCCGATGGGGAAAACCCCAAGGGAACATAGCCGCCCGAACAGGGGGGAACCCTTTCCCGGGGGTTCGCAAATCATGGCCCGGAGCACGTGCGCGGCCCACGGGGGGGCCGAAGGACCTCTCGAGGAGAAAAAACACCATGATATCTGTCGGGGATCTTCTGCCCCGGGTCAATCCAGGCCCGGGTCAGACTTGCAGAATCCTGCAGATCCTGCAAGATCCTGCACCCAAACCCGGATCAACGCGAAAGATCCTGCAAAATCCTACAGGATCCTTCACCCAACCCCAGGTCCGTGCGACCCTGGCTCTGCAGGATCCTGCAAGATCGGGCGCTCTGGCTGACCCCCGGTTGGCATTGACCCCCGTCTCTTGATCCCCGAATCTGGGGACACATCATTGCCCCCCGGTCCTCACCCCCCTCTTGACTGCCCCCCGAGGCAGCGCCGCCCGGACACCACGGCCGTCTGCCCTCCGAACCTCGGAGGCCGCGGCAGGGCGTGTACAGAACTGAACGATGACATAAACGTGCAGTCAACCCGAATCACGAGGATGCGCGGTAAGGATGCAGGGGCCTTGGACGTCTTTCGACCGAGGTTGGCCAGCGAAAGTCGCTAAGGATGGGCCGAAGGAGCAGGATGCAAGGGCAGCCTTGGGTAGGTTGCCCATCCTTGCTGCGCGGGCTGACTGGCACAACTGGGAAACCCGCGCAAATGTCCTGGATGGGCGCTGACCCCCCCATCCGAGAAATCCGCGCGGACCTCCCAGTTGTTCTGCTTGTGTCATCGCCGAACTCTCCAGCGTGGGGCGCGCCAGCAGGACGTCGACCACCCTCACGAGAGGCATCAGGGCGCAGGCGAGCAGCGTCCTCCCGCGCGAGCAGAGGCGGCGTCGTCGGCGTCGGCGTCGGCGTCGGCGTCGGCGTGCGAGGAGTGCGGACATCAGGAGGATGGGGGAAAGGAGGGGGAGGAGGGCGAGGAGGGGGACTGGAGGGGGAGAATGGGTGGAGGTCGAGGGGGAGGGCGAGGGAGGGGGTGATGAGGGAAAGGCAAGGGCGGGTGAAGACGAAGAGAAGGGAGCGGAGGCGGGATGAAGGGCGAGGAGGGATGGCGAGCAGGGCGAGCATGGGGGTGGAGGTTGGATGGCGAGGAAGAGAAAGAGGAGGAAAAGGAGCATGGCTAGCCATGCTCCCCACCATGGGCGGAAACGCTCAGAATGTGCGAAGTGTTTTGGGGCGCTTTCTCGAAGGGTGCTGATCGCTGGGGCATGGGTATATCTGTCTCACTGATGCCGATGGCGTGCTCGGCCCGAGTCCCGCTGCATATGCTATAGGCAACAGGCGACTCTAGAGGTCGGCGGTGAGCAGGATGGCAATGGAGGCATGCTGCACGACACCCCGACGCGGCACCATGTGTCCGCTGTGAGCGCCATCGTTGGGCGGCCCGCCCTGGATGGTGCCTATGCGTCTCGCGGGCGGCGGTCTGCTTACTTCGGTATGCCGGACGCTGCCATGTCGAGCTTGGATACCAAGGCTTCTTCATGTTCTCTCAAAAAGGCCAAGACTTTTCCCTGTTGCTGGCAATCGTCGCTGTTGGACCATGGGCCACGAAACTTACATAATCTAAGATTGAACATGAAAAAAGAATCGGCGCGACCTGGGAACGGAAACAGAAACAACGGTGGCCCCTAAGGAACTCTAGACTTGTTTACAAACTTCCAAACTTACCCTCCCCTCCGACATGAAACGTCGGAGCGGAGGAAAACTTTAACTAAATGTCCCAAAACAATGCGTACGCTAATTGAGTTCCAATGCCGCCGCGGACAGCTCATTGCCGCCCTGGCCGGCTCGTTGCCGCCAGTCGTCGAGTTGCTTTGCATTGCGTTGCATTATGATGCAGTGCGTTGCATTGCTTTGCACTGTGTTGCAGTGTGCTGCATTGCGTTGCATCGAGTTGCGTCGCTTTGTAGGGATGTGCCTTGCTTTGCAGCACATCGAATTGCATTGCATTGCATCGCATCGCATCGCATCGCATCGTATTGCGTTGAACTGCTATGCATTGAATTACATTGATTTGCTGTGCATTGCTGTGCATTGCTTTGCATTGCTGTGCGTGGCAGGGCTTTGAATTACATCGCAGTGCTTTGCTTTACTGTGCATGCCTTTGCATTCGATTGCATTGACTTAACTATGTTGCATGGCGTGGCCTTGCTCTGCATTGGTTTGTACTGAGTCATGCAACATAGATAGCACCGTATGGATTGCACCACCTGGATTCTACCACATTGACTGCAAAACCTAGATTGAAAGCAATTGCTGCTTGGGGTCCATGCGGGATAACATTCTGGATAAGAGAAATTACGACGTCGTCGCGTTGTCCAACCATCCTGTGGTATTGGATCCTCGATTTGAGGAGAAATTGCCCCGCGTTTCTCCTCACTCCTACTCCCTCCTCCATCCCATCCTTGCCTCTGTCCTCCGCGTGTCCTCATCGTCATCAACAACATCATCACCACGACCATCACCGTGATCAGTACCCTCATCATCGTCATCACCATCGTCATCGCTGTGAGCATCAGCCATTCTGGCACATCCCTCACACTATTCATGGCCCCATTGGGAGCTCCACCGAAGGCCCCAGTGGCGGTGTCCACATGCGGCCGCTCGACCCACTTCGGCACACCCCTCACACGCTTCGTGGCCCCTTAGGGAGCTCCACCGAAAGCCCCAGTGGCAGCGTCCACATGCGGCCGCCACACCCATTTCGGCACACCCGTCACATGTTTCGCGTGATCCCATCGGGAGCCCCAGCGAAGGCACCAGTGGCGGTGTCCACATGTAGCCGCCCCACCCATCACACGCTTCGTGGTGCCATATAAGGGCTCTATCTAAAGCTCCAGTGGCAGCGCCCGCGCGACCGCCCCGCCCCATGTCAGCACAACCTTCACACTCGTCGTGGCCCCATCAGGAAATCCACCGAAGGCGATACTCACAAC